CTTTGAGATCTATTCTACTGCCCTCTGCTGGTTGTGATCAGATTTCTTCCAAAATTGTCTTGATAAACTATTTCTCCTGGTAACTCAAGATTTAGTTATTAGTGTCATGTCTCTCATAGTTGGTATGCGTGTGTTTGTCTAATTAATGTCATTCATCAATACATTTCATTATATGCAGTTGAATAGTGTTTCCAGCATACTTGCCAAATAATTATTACTCTGGCTTTTAATAAGCTCTAGAAATACATTAATTCCAACATCTAAACTCCTTGTTCTTAATGCGGAAAAATGCGTGTGTATATTCTTACAGGTCAGGAATACCTACTGTTGCAAAATGCATGAATTGATGGTTTACAGTTAGTTTTGTTAGTAAGTTCAATTTTCTCTTCATTTTACTCTTTAGCTAGATGAAAACAATGTAAAATCCTTTATGATTAAAAATATTATAAAGACAGACGGGTGAGACATGATTCATCTTATGGAATCCCAGCATACGTCTAACGGAAACAATGTTTCTTGGTTTTGTTTATAATAAATTTTGTTTAGCAAATAATGTATACAAATGCCCACATCTCCTCCCTTGTGAATATGAGAGACATTTGCTATAGATTCAGTGATGATATTTTCCAAGCCTGAATTCAGAATACCCATCCTTGGTGAAAGATTTCTGAAATATGAAAGATTTTATTTAGCAGTAATGTACTCACCGAGGTGAGGATCTTTCAATAGAAAGAACAGAATTTGGTGAAATCAAGACTGGGCCATGTAAGCCAGGACATATGGTCACCATAACACTAAAAAAACCTGCCAAAAAAGGAAAAAGGATTGATTATTATTTGCATTGTGGTTGATTGATAGGAACTAAGTGTTTACATATAATTTCTTATTCTGCTGCCAAATGGCTATAACATTCCTCTCAAAACCCTCAATACTTTTCACTTCTAACACCTCAAACACTTAACCAAACGAAACACATTAAGCTCTAAGGAGAGTTATTTTAACTCCACTAAAATTCCACTAAAAAGTTCCACTAAATTCCACTAAAGAAATTCAGTTGCTCATGCACTCAACCATGGAGTGTTTATTTCCTGCTAAGAAGACAAGAAACAACCAAGAGGAAGTTGGGAAAGAGAGTTTGGGAATAGAGAAAGAATAACTAAAAAGGACATTTTAAATCACATCGAAGGAAAAGAAAACTGCACCCTTCAGAGATCCCTTAAAGGAGTGTCTCCTGTTAGCAGTTGCCAGCTGGCCTCCCTGCTCGTGAGTCCACACGCAGTAGCTTCCCAAGTGAAATCTGTGCATGATCATGAGACTCTGCTGTGCAGTAGGTCCCATTTGCCCTTGGCTAATCTACTTTTGTTTCAGGTAGAAGATCAGATCCCTTTACTGCATCTTTTTCTATAAGCCCAAAACTAAACAACAACCGAAACACAGAAAAGGATCCCCGCCCCATTGGAACCTCTAAACCCCAGAGGGAGAATAAAGATGGCTCTTCTCTCTTGACCCACAGCTTTGGCCATGTCAGCTTCCGTGAAGACCAAGCTCTTTCAGTCTACTCTCACCTGTTTAGGGTCTCTCGCCTCTTTGGACCACTCATTCCCAGCTCTGCTGGTTCCATCAGTGTGTCTCAGTATTTTCACTGCAGCTGTGGCCTTTGTTTCCCAGACTCTGCTTTCTGTCTCCAGTGAGCCTCTTCCTCCCGCCTCTCCCTGTAATTTTCCTTCCTCATCCTTTTGAGTGATCAGGCCATGCTCATCTCTGTATCCTTGGGGTTTAGCACAGGGCTTAGCACATAATTAATGAACGGATATGAGATGCTTCTCCAGTTGATAGAAAGTGGGATGCTGGCCCAAGATCTTCAAAGACTAAAAATAGAAAACAATTTTATTACATTATTCTGTTATAACATAGGTACGATGGGTCTAATCCCTTATATATCCTTTTACTTACGTCTACTCTGTATTCTTATGGTGATTTTTACCTCCTCACAGCACTTTTACATCCTTTGTTCCATTGGATTTGAATCTCACCTGCCCGTAAGACAGCAGGGTTATTATTATCTCATCTTACAGTTGGGCAACTGAGGCAGAACAGAGATTCAGTGACTTTCCCTGTCTCTGTTCACGAGTGACAGAGCTATGACTGGCATCCTCACTGTAGTTCTGTATGAACTGAGTATAAATATCCTTTGTGAACAATATACACACATATATATTTTCAAAAATAGTATATATATTGAATAAACATATATAAAATATATATTTAAAAACAGAATAAACATATACTATATGCTGTGTAAACATATGTAGCATGCATGTGTGAATATATGTTACATATACAGGCGCATATGTAAATAAATGTATGTATGTAGTTTATTAAAATGTAGCCGTCTGGAGGGATGTTCCTGTTTGCCTTACAGGTCTTATATAGATCCTAATGGTTGTATACGTATTATTTAGACGTGAAAAAGCTTTGGTTCTAAAGGTTGTTTGCTAGTTACTGGTGAGAGAAATCCTTCTTGCACTTAATTTACTTTGGTAGGTGCTTTTTGCAAAGATCGGTCGAACTTGGCACTCTATTACACGTCTCACTGAGTGGAGAAGAGGAAGATGAAAGGGCATAATAATTAACTATAAGACCTGTCTTCAGACTCCCGGCTTAAAGAGCTGTCCCGCCCCAGGGAATTACTTCAAGCCTGAGGCTGGGATGGCTTCCTCCACCTAATTGCCACTACTTCTTCCCTAATGAAGTTCTGCTTTTCTTTAGCAGAGTGAGGAGCGTTTCTGGTGCTCTAGATAAAGAATCAGGATGTGACCTATTTACTTATTTGAAGGTGGGGGAGGAGAAGAGAGGGGGACCAAGAGACACACCTATTTAGGGCAAAAGTTTATGTAGTCATTTATCTGATGGCATTATCCCACAGTAATTCGTCCCCAAAGAGACTTATTAGGGAGTATGACATGAAAGTGCATTACCGTCTCCACCACACAAGCCGGTGTGGTCTCAGGCCTATGAGCTTGCAACGGCTTATGTGAGAATGTATCAGCAGCACAGAGCCAAATGCAGAAAACAGATGCCTTGCTGAGTGTATGTAAAACTCCAAGACAGGGTCAGCCACAGGCTAAACTATTCGTTAGCTAATGTTTGTCTCTAACAACCTCCAACTTCTTTTATTAGTCTCCTTCTCTGCTTTCATGGTATCACTTTCTTATTCTCTCATGCTCTCTAATTGCCCAGAGCTCCTGCATAGGCCTGCCTGCTCTGGCAGTACTCTGTGCTCTGAACCTCACAATTTCTCACAGCCATCAAAACCTCCTCTCATTTAGACTGTCAGGTTGAAATACGACCTCAAAACATTTTATCCTCACGTGTACTAAGGAACTAGTACACTGGTATTTGGGGACGGTTCAATATTGTCTTCCTTCCTTCCTTCCTTCTGTTTTGATAGGGCAAAAGTATTTTAATGAAAAGCAAAAAGTATATAATGATGATAAATCAATCAGAATAGCTATAAGAAAATTATTTTGTATAGTTCAGGTTATATGTCAATAATAGTGTCCAACAAATCTCAGTGCCTTAAGCTAACAAAGATTTGTTTCTCATTCCAAATTGGGTTGTCAGGGTTCTCTGATTCCTGTGGTCACTCAGGGACCCAGGGACCCAGCCTGGGGAGCGGCCACCCTTTCCAACATTGACCGTTGCTGTGCTTACTGTGCTAAAGGGAGGAAAGTTTTAGAGGGACTCACACTGGCAGTAAATGCTTTGACTGGACATGACACATCTTGAAGGACCCTGGAAAAATGGGAGTAATGTTGGCTGTCCTTGTACTCATTCATCTTTCATCCTTAAGGACTAACAGAGTACTGGGCACAGCAAAGGCAGGAAATGTTTATTAAAATGAAGTGAGTTCCAGGGATTCTGGTTTCTTTTGGATTTGCCTTGGTCTTAGACCGAAGTAAATAATGGAACCCATGAAGTAAAGACTCAGTCTAATGTCCCTGGGATACCAAAAGTAAGAGGACTCCAGGCCCTTTGAATCTATCTGAGAAGAATAGAATTCCGGGATAGATTGTGCATGTCCTGGTCAATTTCATGAATATCATGTTCCTTCTGCTAACTCATGGAAATAACTCCATACAGTTATTCCTTTTCTACTGCTTGGCACAAGGTATTGTGCATTGAATTTTTGTGGACTGACTCATGTGGACAGCCCATGGCTTATGGTCAATTTTTGGAATCTTCCTTAAGCCTCATAGAGATGAAGACTGTGGAGTTTTTGACCAAACAATCTCTTTTTTGTATGGTGGTATAATGGAGCTTTATTAAATGTGCGTTTCAATCGTATAATTCAACCGTATGTATACACAGGGAAAAAGAGAAAAAAAATAGTGAGATGTATAGTCCAGGGAGTTCTACCTACTTCACTGAGCTTGTGCCTCCAAGGAGGTGTGAAATGAAAAACTTCAGTCTCCTGTGGTCTTGGTTGAACAGGACTCAACTATGAGAGCGGCTCAGCCCATCACATGTACTTCTAATATTCAGATATACAGCCAAGCATTTTTCCACACAGCTTGACTCCTGAATGTCTGCCAGCTGCATCACCTGGCGCTCACCCCAGAAACAATGTTCAGTTCCAATGCTGGAGGGAAAACTGGCTATGTTGGGGCTCACCGTGAGGTGTATATTTCTCTCCAGCATGATGTGATTTTGACTGTATGTTTTTTGTCGAAAACCAACTTTAGGACCTAACATCCCCTGTAGAATGAGACTCCACAGCAGTCTTGTTGTTTAGAAAACTAGACATCATCAGGGAAGACTACCTTACTTTCTGTCGTCTTTCTATTATATTTTGCTCTGTTGTTTGCATGTGTAGGTCTAGGCTTATGTTGAAGCCCATGTATGTACCCACCAGGAAAATAGATGTACCCGTGTGCAGTATGTATTTTGCTCTACACGTCACAAGCAAGTGAACGTTGCTCCTCCATCCTCTTCTCCAGAGTGCCTACCGCATGTTTACAAACAACACGTGTTTGAAGCACATGATCACCAAAGTCCGGAGGGATACCCACCACTTTGAACGCTACCAGCATAACCGGGACCTTGTGGGATTCCTCAACATGTTCGCAAACAAACAGCTGGAGCTGCCGAGGGGCTGGGAAATGAAACATGATCATCAGGGCAAGGTAAGAGGCGGGAACTATTGTGGGGAAACTGCCGATGGCCTGCGGGCTGCTGTGGCTTTGGCATTTGGCTCTGCTCTTCCCGTGAGGGCTGAAAGCCCTTTGTGAGGTGAACCTTTCCGTTCCATCTCCTGGTTCAAGTGAAACCTGGACGAGCGGATTGTTTGTTACGACACTATTCTGAAGTAGTGTGTGCAGTGGACGGGGATGAGGGCACTGGTTTGGCCCAACACTCGGTTTTGCCTGGACGTTTTTCTACCTGTAATCTCTCACCGTCTTCTGCTGATTAGAGAAGAGATTTCTTAGGCACTGACACTTCCTCCTCCCTCAGCACACAGCCTGTGTCGTAGGTAGTTGAATTAAAGTTGGGGTATTGTTTGGAGAAGGTGGCTAGGAGGTTGCTAAGCAGTCGTACAAAGTGTGTCTTTGTGGCACTGTCTGGGTCTGGGCCTCAGTCTTGTTGGTTCAGACCCCTGCTTTTGTTAGCACATTAAACAAGACTCACAGACTGATGAAGTTAGGATGAGAAATACGTAACTGTGTCGCACAGGCCAGAGTTGCCATGTCTGTACTTCCTTCCTAGACAGATGAACGAGAAAGCAGGGTTATGATCAGGAGATTGTTATGGGAGTGAGAAATCAGAATGAGAAAGTAATTTTTATCAGGTGTTCTTCAGCTAAGATTTTATTTACTAAGTCTTGTTTCACACCTCCTGTGAGCCATGAACTGTTTAAGTCTTTATCTGGTTAAGCTCCTCACAACAGCTCCATCAGGCAGGACTATTATGACTATTGCCTTTTACAGATGAGGAGCCCCAGGTCCAGAGCTGTCTGGGGACTTGCCCGGTGTCACCGAGTGGCAGTGACTGAGCTGTACTCTTACCCCGGTGGTCTGGTTCAAGGGTCACGCTCTTCACCCCAACATGATGCTCTCCAAGTATTGAGGAACCAACCTCAGTTTCCCTGTCTATAAAAAGACTTGAAATACATGACTTTTATGGTGGAAAGGATTAAAATGACATGATATTTAATTATGCTTGGCTCATTCACTCAACAAATATTTATTGAGCACCTATGCAAAACAGATGAGCTACCCAGTTCGTAGAACTGCCATTCCCATGGGAAGAGATGGGCAGTAGACAGATAAGTAAATCATAGCGTGCCAAGAGCTGATGAATACTGTGATTTAAAAGAAAGCAGGGGACGGGGTCTGGAGAAAGACAAGGTTGGAGCTATTTCACACAGGTTTGCCAGGGAAGCCCTCACTGATAAGACTGTCCAGGTGCAGAGACCCGAACGAAGTGAGGAGTAAAGCAGCTCAGGCAAAGAGCACTCAAGGCGAATGGAGCGTGTGAAGGACTCAGTAAATGCCATTCTTCCCCAGACTACTCTCTAGCAGTAAGACCTCAGTAGCATCTTATTCATCCTGCACTCAGCCTCGCAATCTTATCTGAGAACCTATAGGCAGTCAAATAGACATTACAAAGTGCATGTGTTTTAACACATGTGAGGAGCCGTGAGACTCTCATTAGAACTAGTGACTTGATTTCTGTAAATCTTTTTAATAAACCTCTAATTCCCAGCCCAGAGAAGATTAGAAGTGGCAAGCGTGAAGTTTAGGATAGATGGAAGAGAATGGATTTGTGATTATGTCCCAGGACCCCGGGTAAAATGACATTGTATCAGAGTCAGGTGGGCATGACAGGGAAGCCTTTCCAGGACACTAGAAAGCTAGAAGGAGGGACACCTGGCACTTCCTGTGCCCTCCCCTCCCAGAGGAGCAGGTCGCATTGCTCCTGTGAGTTTGGTTCAGCAGCTGGAGAGCCCAGAGTTCGTAAACATTCTACTGAATGGAAGGGCGTAGACGGTCCGAGTAAGGACTCTGGAAAACACTGCTGGTGTCATACCTGGGTATAAAAGAGGAGGAGTGTACCAAGCTGTGTTCTCAGCTCTGACCAGATTTTGCCTGCTGTCGTGAAGAGCTGTACTCACTAGAGAACCCGGGTCCAGGGGAAACCCAGGGCCAAGTAATGCTGCCTGTGTTTCTGCTCTGTGGAGAGACTGGCTGAGTCACTTTGTGTCCCTTGCCACAGGGGATGGGGAGCTTATCTTGCACACGTGGGGGAGGAGGGCCCTTTCTGCCAGTCATAACTTGCCAGACACCCTTCAGGAGAGAGCTGCTTATTAATAAGCCGTGGACCTTGAGAAAAGTTTGTTACATTTAGGATACTGTTTAGGATGAGTTACGATGTATTCTTAAGAACAAGTTCTGCCTCAGAGCTTTTATACAAGTTTCGGTAGTTAAACAGCAGTAAGTATTATCTTGGCTCTGTGGGTAACATGGCTATCCACCTTATTCCCTGAGGGTGTTGGACTCATTTAGGGGTTTCGACCTAAGTTGTAGCATTATAAAGAACCCTGACTGTGGGCTGGTAGATAGCTGACCTCACAATCTGCTGGTGGCTTTGCATTTGAATGCTGCTTGTCATGAAAGACAGAGAAATGGATTCTCAGACACACCTGAAAGCTTATCCCTTTAGCCTAATCTCTCTGCTTCGTGCATTAGGACTCTAATAAGATTTTTAGCGAAGCTGGATGCCTTAACTCAAGCAGGTCTGTCTCCCTGGGATCCCGCCTGTCCTTCCTTTACGAACGACTGGCTTCCAGGGAACTAAAATCACTTACAGGAACATTGGGAGAGGCTTGTGCTATGTCTGTATTTGGCTGCGGCTGCTTTTCCTTACACCTTAGAAGTCAGGGTTCCCATCCTCCAGGCACTTAGTAGGTTTTCTTCCAGCCCCGAAATCTTAGCCGCCCCTTTTTTAATGAATTGTTTTGCTTCCAGAACATTTAAAGGGAGTGAACTTTTTTCCACGTAATATAACATCAAAAGCCATTAAATACTACAAAGTTATTTTCCCACATGATGGCTGATTTCTAGAATTGATGTGGAATAAGATGTGCAAATCCTCATCTATGTGAAAAGGAATGATCCTAAGAGGAATGTTCTCAAACTTAGCTCTTCGGGCTTATGCAGTTTGGCTCCATCTTCTCTTCTCAAGTGCAGCATCTTCCTTTCGTGCTTTCATTTGTTTAGTCATTCAGCACTTCTGATTGCCTACTGTGTGCACACCAGTGTAATACCAACAAGAAAGGCTAAGGCTTAATGTAGCGTCTTGTAGTATGGAACATTGACTGTGTGCTAGGCACCTTTGTCAGCACTTAGATTAGTTCCTTTCATGCTCATAGCAGCCTTGTAGATAGCTGCTATTTTTGTCCACATTTTGTAGAAGAGGAAACTGAGGCACAGCATGGTTAAGTGAATTGACCAGGGTCCCTCAATCCCTAAGTGATAGAGTTGGATTTGAACCCAGGCAGTCCAGCTCCAGAGCTGCCCTCTTCGCCTGCTTCTCACAAGTGCATAGGGTGAAGGGTTGTCTTCTAGCAATTATCATGGAGGTAGAAGGGCTCTGCAGGATGCTGTGGGCGCCTGTGGTCGGGTCTCATCGTCAAGGAGGTGGGGGCTGCCAGATGCATCATCCAAAGGCAGCATGTTGGGTGGGGTGAGGGCAGCAGGAGTTGCTCTTAGCTTCTCAGCCATAAGTGGTCCGTCTTTTCTTGAATCCCCCACATAAGTTCACTTCTATTGTTTCTTGACATTTGTCCCCATCTGTCTCATGGTATAGTTGATAGCATGTTTTGTCTTCCCAGGCAGATGAGCCCCTTCTCGAGATTTCTTTTACTTATTTTTTAATTACTCACTCTTCCACCCTAGTGCCTTTCACATGGAAGGTTTTCAAAACCAGTTTGATGGATGAATGAAATGTCACCTGTAGTTTCACGGTTATTCAGTCATCTCTGCTTTGGACAAATGACCGAGCTGCCAGGCTCCCTCCCCAGACCTGCTCCCTCCTCCTGTGCTCTCACCAGAAGCAGCTTCTAGATTTGCCCCACTTGACCTCTCATAATGCACTGTTATCTTGGATTTTTTGCATTGCTTGTTTGAACATCGTGGTGATTATGCTGTACTGCACGTTAGCTGTCTTCGTATTTTGGAAGAGACTTTTTGTCTTAGTTATTTAAGGCCAAAGGTTTAAATTGGGTGAGATTTTATAGGATTCTAGAGCCAGTATGCTATTTTGCGGAGTTTTAGGGTGAAAAATATCTTTGACTCACGTAAAAGAAGAGAAATAAAATATTCTTCTACAATTAACCATTAATTAAATAATAAGACCAGAATATCAGGACTTGCTAGATGATGCTGATGATCATGATGAAGACAATGATGGGAATGATGATTCCTGCATTTATTAAACTCATACCTTGTGCCAGGCACTATACTAGGCACTTTTCCATGGATTATCTTATTTACACTTCCTGGCAATTTATGAGGTGGGTATTATTATTGTTATCCATATTTTACTGAAATTTAGAGAAGTTAAATAATACATATTAGCAAGCAAGTGAGAAATCCAGGATGGAAACTCGAGCAGTGTGACTCTTCACTGCTACGCTCTACTGGGAGGGATTGTCTTTGGAAGTGAGAGATACGTTATCATCCTAAAGAAGAAGAGTGCTGGGCCAGATGCTGGGGTTACTGGTATCCTTCAAGGCTGAGTCATACATACGGGTCTCAATTAGATCACAGATGTTCTAGCAGAGGACATGCCACTAGAACCACATACATGACTTCATGCTTAAATAGCACAGAATCCTTATGCTAGGGGCACATAGAATAACAGAAGGGAATGGAGTTCACATATGTTGATGACTTATTAGATGCCAGGCTTTCTGCTAGAGATGTTGTATAAGCTCATTTAACTTTCACAATAATTCTATGGAATTGGTTTTTCTATAGATGAAGAAACCAAGGCTCAAAGAGGTTAAGTGTACAAGGCAACTCAGGTATAAATCCATGTCTCTCTGTATGGAGAGCCTGTACTAATTTTCCCATACAAGGTTAGTCAAGACCTCACTGGCCACTAACCACCTGACTAACTTGGG